CTGATGTTGGAGAATTGACAGCTAACTTCCCAGTGTGATCATTATCTCCCCAACTCTAGAATTTTTTCATTTAGGGGATGGAGCAAAAATGCACTCAGATATACCTTCCAATATCATCAGCAAGTCTGGGGTCATAGAGAGAAAACTTAGCTAAGTAATAAAGTACACAGAACCATGAGGAACCTGCAAGAAATATATAAAAAATATTTGAAAAATAAATAAACAAAAAGCCTTTCCTGACCAATACAAATAAAAAAACTCATCAAAAAATTAAATGTTCATGTGACATTATTTTTCTTTAACATAGAAAACCTTGCTAATCAAAATCTGTCCAGAAGTCAGCACCATCATCAAGATGGCTGTGAGCTTGCTGCCTGTCAAGTAGCAGACTCACCTCAGTTGTTTCACACAAATCTATTGTCCAAAGTGAGTAGAAAGGCTACTGTATATATCCAAAGGAATGGAAATCACCATGTCAAGAGATGCCTGCACTCCCATATTCATTTCAGCTCTGTTCCCAAGTCAAGATGTGGAAGCAACTTAGGTGTCCATTGACACATGACTGGATAAGGAAAATGTGGTACATATACAAATGGAATACTACTCAGCCATAAAAAAGAATGAAATTNACTCCCATATTCATTTCATCTCTATTCACAAGTCAAGATGTGGAAGCAACTTAGGTGTCCAATGACACATGACTGGATAAGGAAAATGTGGTACATATACAAATGGAATACTACACAGCCATAAAAAAGAATGAAATTCTGCCATTTGCAGCAACATGAATGAGTCTGGAGATAATTATGTTAAGTGAAATAAGCAAGAAAGAAAGAAAGAAAAGAAAACCACAACAATATGTTGAACTCTCAGAGGGAGAGAACAGAGCTAAGGATACTAGACATGAGGGGAGAGAGGGAGGGGGTTTGGGGAGTGATAGGCTGGGTAAAGGGCATAAAGAAAAATCATGACTTGTAATAATGAGTATGCTAATAATAAAATTAAAGATTTTTAAATGTGAATGAGATGGGTAATATGAGAGGTGAA